ACATGTAGTTTAGACAACATACCATCACCGGAGAACACCATCATGATGATGACGACGATCAAGTACCTGAAAGACAAAATTATTTGTCTTTGCTAGATATATACTGAACCAATCGTTAAATAATACACTTAATTCAGAGCCTATAAGCACATGGTTGTACACTCATGTTTTCTTCAGGCGAAAAGTAAGATAACTTAAATCTCTTCAACTATTTTATCACAATATTCTTCATTCAGTTAGGGCAATTAGTACATCAGTTTAGGGACGTTGTAACCGCTGGGAAGGACTATATATAGGCCTCCTGCAATTTTTTATTCTCACATATTCATATTACATAAGACTTACCTTTCCTTTGTTAAAAACTATTCAACAATTTCACTATTTAATCACAACACTAATCAAAGGGGGAGGGGGGCCAATGGTACCTGTTAGGCCGGAAAAAAAAGATTCATTGCAATTGGATTTTCGGGAACAATAAGGGGGGTACCTTTGACAAGCCGCCGCTTTCCTGTCCCCCTTCGAGGCCACTAGATATGCTGGGCCCTCAGGTAAATTCAGGTACAAATTCAGCAGAGATGTGTAGGAGTCGCGGCTGTCGTCTCAATTATTCCTTGAATGTTTAGGCACTGTAACTTATCACTTTCCTTTAGCGGGAACACACTTGATGTTGTTACATAGCCGATATAATGAGATGTGAGGCGGGGGATATAATGAGGTGTGAGGCTGGAGGATATAATGAGGTGTGAGGCGGGGGAGGATATAATGAGGTGTGAGGCGGGGGGAGGATATAATGAGGTGTGAGGCGGGGGGAGGATATAATGAGGTGTGAGGCGGGGGGAGGATATAATGAGGTGTGAGGCTGGTGGATGGTGAGTGAGGAGTGAGGTTGCCCCCTGCTACACTCACACTGTACCAGGATCATGTTCTCATGTTCCCGCGAGTGTCCTCGCCACATTATTATATATATTTTGCTACAACTCTTACATAACGAACAACTCATCAGTCAGTTTCATACTCATGTGTGTATGTAAAGTATTTGATATATAAAAACAACAAAAATGTGACATCTGACCAACGCTACATTACTTAAAAGTCAATTTACTACATAAGTTAAGTCAATTTCAGAGTCTAAGCCATGATGGTCGTGTTCCATATGACCTTTCCCGTGTCTGGTGAATTATTCATCATTCACATTATTTATTACAATTATTTCTGTCCGGGCAGGACAGGTTTTCTCTCACCTAATGCCTCTGTTCACCTAGCAGTAAATAGGTACTTGGGAGTTAGAGAATTGTTGTTGCATTGCATCCTGGGAAGGATCAGTATTTCAATTTGGTTGCTCGAAATTACCCCTTATAAATAGTTTATGAAAGTGTTATCATTCAGTCGATACTGTGTGTGCCCGGGGAGTCCAGGGACGCAGGTTCGATCCCATTGTATGACCTCAATATTTTCTCATAGATACATACCTGGAGAGTCCAGGGATGAGAGAGTTCGATCCCATTGTACAGTCTCTCATCATGGTAGCCAGTAGCGTGTGCACCCTGGGAATCCGGGAGAGACAGGTTTGAATCCCATCGTACTGCCTCAACACTTTCTCATTAAGAAAACTTAATTTACATTCTCAAGAGATATGAAGAATAATGAGAATGCCTGGCGGTTGTACAATATACTGTACAGTATAGTATAGTGCTAAACATATCAACACAAAGATCATGAAACATCATTTCAGTATTACATGTCAGTTTAAACAAATCTATTTTGTTTCAGGGTTAATTAATTGCCCAGAGTACTCACCTAGCTGTGCTTGTGGGGGTTGAGCTCTGGCTCTTTGGGCCCGCCTCTCAACTGTCAATCAACGTTTTTTTCCACACACCCTAGGAAGCAGCCCATAGCAGCTGTCTAACTCCCAGGTACCTATTTACTGTTAGGTGAACAGGATCATCAGGGTGAAACTCAGCCAATTTGTTTCCGCCTCTGCTGGGGATCGATCCCCGGACCATAGGACTACGAATCCCGAGCGCTGTCCACTCAGCTGTCAGGCCCTGTGCAGGCTCGAGTATGAGCTTGTTCGTGAAGTCTAACCATAGAGTAACACAATGTATTACTTGGAAAATGTTAGTTTTTAAATTAGCCACTCGCCTGCAGGCATTCAGCTTTAAATTTCACATATGAAGGACCTATCTGTGCTGCATAAAAAATATTTATCAAGCTTCATACAAAATATTTTAACTTTATATAAAAGACATGATATTTTAAAATACAATATTTACATTTTTGTATACATAATTAAGATATAGCTAATATCTATAGCTATTAGACTGTCAGATTAGCTACTGTCAATCTGCTGTATGGTGTCTATTAACCTTGTTTAAATTACTAATCAAGCTGTCAATGTAATCAATCAGAGCTTTAATATAACAATGTGCTTTAATATACCTACTTATCTCTCTCATCTCATTTTTCTCTTGTAATGTATCTTTATCATTTATCAATTCTGATTGAAATTACCTACTCAAAATTATCTGCTAGATTAAGGACCTGCCCGAAACGCTGTGCGTACTAGTGGCTTTACAAGAATGTAAAATACTGTACTATCCAATGTATTCTCACAAACCCAATGTACCTTCTTGTATATATAAAAATAAAATAAAATAAATAAAATTAGTGTATACAGTACTGTATTAAGATACAGTATCTGTAGTTAAAATTTTCCTTGTACATGTATATTCATCTTGCATGTATTAGGAATTACTGTATTTAAAATTTTGCTATACAGTACTTATTTACTTTTACACTTCATTGACTTTATACTGTACCTTTCATTTTAATTTGTATACAGTACTGTATATGACAACTAATTAGTATTTTTAATATTTTTGTAATTCAAGGAACAAACAAACAAACGATATAAATTAATGAAGTTTGTTTTTACTACAATCATACATCATTATCAACTCCTTTCCCATCTCATGGGGTTGGGAGGTATCAGCTCCCAAAATATGGTGAGTTAAAGCAGAAGGCTCAATATATTTAATAACAGTACATTTTAAATACTGTACTGTATCACTTGTTCATTCATAATATCTTTCAAAATATATAGCATTACGGATAAGCAAGAAAACATTTTTACAGTTTTAGAAACATCAAAAATATATACACCAATATTTGTGGGCATATAAATAAAGTATACATTAAACACCTTCTGCATTTAACCAAGACTGACCATATCATTCTACGTTATCTTGAGATGATTTTGGGGCTTAGCGTCCCCGCGGACCAGTCCTCGACCAGGCCTCCTTTTTGTTACACATCCCCAGGAAGTAGCCCGTAGCAGCTCTCTAACTCCCAGGTATCTATTTACTGCTAGGTGAATAGGAGCATCAGGGTGAAAGAAACTCTGCCCGCTTGTTTCCGCCTCCACCGAGGATTGAACCCGTAACCTCAGGACTATGAATCCGAAGCACTGTCCACTCAGCTGTCAGGCCCAGTGGTTCATGACGATCACCACCTAACTGTAACTGTAGGCTATCAACAGTCATTCCAGACTTAATGATACAGTACTGCATAAACCTCTTATAAAACGCCACCATCCAATTCTTCATACTTAGGTGGTGGTGGTGGTCTTGAATCACAATCAGGAATCCCGAGTTCGATTCACGGTCAGGAAAGGAAAGGAAATGTGTTTAATCAAAAATGATTACAGTATACGTTTCCTTTCACCTTATGCCTCTGTTCACCTAGCAGTAAATATTTACCCAGGAGTTAGGCAACTATTGTGGGGTTGTATCCTGGGAAGGACCAGTAGTTGACTAGCAAGGGGAGAGGGAATCTTGATACAAGCCTAAATATATATACCATACTGTATATACAGTACATGCTTCGTGTCCCTTGACAACAAAAATTGTCTCAATGTTTGGTTACTCCTATACTACCTTTAACTCATAACCCCCCCCCCCAACATAAACAATTTTAGTTATTATAATTTGAGTGTGGAGGACTGACAAGTGTGAAATGTCTTCTTGCTCTCAAGAAATTACAGGTGAAAAAATCAATATTAAAAATACTTTTCTGCAACTCTACAGAAAAAAAATTTAAACATGGAAAATGACAAGGGCAAATCATGCCTTACCTCATCACCTAACACATTTGTCACCTTTTAAAATCATTACACCATCTGCCATTTCCACAAATTTATTCTGAAATACGTTGTCATAAAAAAGTAATGGCAAAATCAATATTAGTAATTAATCCATGAATATAATGTCCAAGATGCCAGAGTCAGCAGGCGGTGGCAGAGTGAGGCGGCAGCAGGGGACACATTCTTTACCCAGAGAGCCTGTGGACACTGATGGCTTAAAATAACTGTTCATAACATGTTCCCTTGTCCCCAGAGACCTCTGATGATCAAACGTTACATCTGTAGAATTCCTCTCCAGTTTTCATGTTAAAACATCTGGCTGTACACAGCCCTTCTATATTTTAAAACATCAATGATATCAATTACAGCAAAAAATGCTAACATAATAATGAAGTTCTGCAAATATCTGACACTTGTGAACTATTTCCATTGCCTCTGCAATGGAAATTTCCTAATTAAGATGTCTGCCAATACGGTATATGAACAAAATATATAAAATATAATTTTAAACTTGTTTAAATAATGTTCCTAAAATTAGTTATTGAAATTACATCACATAAAAAGAAAACATTATTTGGAACCCCCCCTTTTCTGGTTTCTTGGATTATTTGGACATACGCTGTACATTTCTGTTTCTCCATGTCCATTAACCAGAATATGTCCAGTTAATGGGATTTAACCCCTATTAACCAAGACTGCAGGATTCAGCAGGAAAGGATACTTATTTATATTAAATAACACAACAGTCTCTTTCGTTTCATCATATATATATATATATATCTGTATATATATATATATATATATATATATATATATATATATATATATATATATATATATATATATATATATATATATATATATATATATATATACAGTATATATATATATTGGTTCATTCCTATTAAAACACTATTACAGGCATTTTTAGCATGCTTAAAATAAATATGAAAAATGGGCAAAAAATTATCATGATTTCTTATTTATCTGGATTTTCAGTTATCTGGATATCCAGAGGTACCAGCTTATTTGGATAATAGAGCTCAAACTGTAAATACAACATACACATTACATATACCCTGTACATACATGTGTGTGTGTGTGTGTGTATGTATATACAGTATATCCATCAGGAGAAGGAATTCGAGGACTAAGAATCTGGAATGTGAGGACAGGGTGAGAGAACAGTGCCCAACCACTTGAACCATTATGAGCTGAATGCTGACTTGTAAGATACAGTACAAGGCCTTTGTTCTACCGACCAGTCAAACAGTAATGCAGTGCCTCAAGACCTATAGCATACAGAACACCCCATATATACTGTAAATGAACCATATAGTGCTTCTCAAAATTATTTTACTGTATACAAAGCATATATAAAAATGCCTAAGAACTTCATCTGAGGAACTAAAATATAAATACTATATACAGTATAAGAATGCACCATACAGTGCTTTCCCTCAAAACCACAATATATACAGCATTATACAATTGCATTTGAGAGAATTTAGTGCTTCTTAAGAACTACACACTATCCTTGTTCATGATAAACATCTCCAAACAGTGCCTGATCAACTGGGCTGTGATTCATATGTTAAACTGCAATCAGCAGCATCTAACAGCTTGGTTGACCAGACGACCAACCTGAAGGCCTGGTCAGAGACTGAGCCACAGGGACATTAAGTCCTGGAACTAATGTTGTTGTTAAAGATTCGCTACCCGGAACAAAGTTCCAAGTAGCACGGGCTATGGTGAGCCCGTAACTGGAACCAATGACAGATAGACACAATAGACATTTATTATTCATTTCAATATCCTGAAATGAATCTCCCATTAAATGTTGAGGACAAATGTGACTGAAGTTATTAGAATTTAAATGCAAGAAATAAACAAACTTAAAAAATATTTGTTAATTTTAATATTTCTAACCCCAATATCAATAAAATGTTGGCCACATAAATGTAAGCACCATTCGGTAAAAAATTGTATAATAAATTTTGTAGTACAGTAGTATACATGGGTTTCAATAATGTAAAATAAATATAAAAATTAAAAAAATACTCAATATTTAAAAGAAAATTTGCTGCAAAATAAAATGATAAAATAATATACACAAAATCTATCCTTGTAACATAAAAAACAAACTTTTCCTTATAATGTTAACATCAGAAGGCAAGGCTTTGTTAATAAGACACAGCCATGTTGATTATTTCTACTGAATAACTTTCATTAGCTTATTCACAACTACTGTCCCATTCTTCTTTAATAATTTCTTCGGCATCTAAAGTTTCGATCTTGATACTATCAACTTCACATGCTGCCTCAGGATCAAATTTGGTTATCTCATTTACTCCGTTTACGATCTCTAAATCGAGTTTTGCTGTAGTTGCCAGCAAAGACTTGCTGTGGTTTCCGAGAACCTTGATGTTCCAATCGGAAGGAGTGAAGGATCTCTTCCAGTCATCCTCAGCTGTAGGCAATGTACCTCTTGTATTATGATGACACTTACAATAAGAACTGGCCATCTTTCTACAATTAACGACAGATTGGTTCAGTCGTGAGATATAGACATATTCTTCTCTAGAGTTCTGTGCCTCAGGGGACTTATCTTCTTCCGCTTCCATGTGATCTTGAAGGTCATAACGAACAGAAACATCTTTTTTGCACACAGAACATTTCAGTGAATTTTTACCAGTATGAGTAACCATATGAATTTTTACTGTAGGCTCCTTTTTAACTGCTGGAACAATGGCATAAAATGATCTGTGTGCTCGTTCATGAAGGTAGTTCATAATATGACGGCGCAATTCTTTTTTACCGTGAAATAAGCTTTTACATGCATTACAAGACAATAATTTTTCACCGCCCAGAAATAATAAATGTGTATCAAGGTCATCTTTTGTTTGAAATACCTTTCGGCACTTTTTGCACTCAAAATGATACCTGACATGATTTTCAAAAGCAGTCTTCTCATTAAATGACTTCCCACATACTGTGCACACATATTTCTCGCCTTTCTGACTATTTTTTAACCTATTATTATTATTATTATTCCGTGTTGTTGCAGATAACTGTAGAAATTGTTTAGCCTTTGCATTTAACTTTCCCTCTGGTATTTCTTCCCTTACATAAGGCTCATTTTTGCAAACATGGCATGGACAAACTTCTTCACATTCACTGGGTAGCGCAGCGTTCTTTTCAGAATTCTTACCACATAATTTACGCGATTTTTTTTTCTTTGAGTGACAAATAATGTGGTGTTCAAGAGCATTTTTAGTTGTAAATACTTTGCCACACTGGTCACACTCATAAGCTTTCTTAAGGTCGTGAGTGCTACCATGGACGAAAAGCTCATCTTTACAAGCAAATCTGGCCCTGCAGAATAAGCACCAGTAGGGTAAATTACCATCATGAGTAACCATATGCATTTCATATGCCAACTGGTATTTAAATTTTCTATCACAGTAAGGACATATAATTGGACATTTAGCGTTGGTCCCAGGATGTGTACCCTCATGCACATCTGGGTTTTCTTTTTGATGTGCAAGGTAATGTTTAAAGAGATTCTTCTTGTATATATATTTTGTACCACATATGTGGCACTTGTATTTGTTCTTTGGACATGAGTTCATATGCTGTTTCAGCAAAAGTTCATCTTGTAAAACTTTTTTACATAAAATACACTGAAGTAACTGAGTTGCAAGATGTGTTTGCAATTCTTCTTTTCTTTTACATGCTATCTTACAAGCTGGACATTCACAATGCTTTTTTAGACTTTTCTCTTCACGTACTATTTCATTTTGCTCTTCTACAAGTGGCTCACAGTTCCGACTGTCTTCATTACCAGCTAAAGCTGATGTCTCCTTTGTTTGTGAAGATATATTTACATCTTTAGTTTTTGCTAAATTCATCACACCTGAACCCATAATATGTTGATCAATTACACAATCAGTCATAGGTGTCCCCGTATGCACTTTTGCTTCATTCATTTTAGTGCACAACGCTCAAACTTTCCTCCTGTGGGCTGCCTTGTCACATCATCAAATCATGACTGAAAACAGAAATTATAGTTTTTAATTTTCTTCCTAAAAAGTAAAATTTCAACAATAAGTGTTTCATTAAATGCTTATTTTAAATTGCATACTCCATACATTCTTTTCTGATATTTACACTTGCAAAGGCTTATAACACAATTCTAACCCTGTTTTGAAACTTCCGAGACAGATGTAATAGAACCTATGAGCATCACACCAGAAATAAATCTCTCTTGATATTCCCAATCAAATTAAATCTATGCAAATACACCATGCAAATAAAGGAAACCAATATAAGGAACTCCCTTCCTAATGAAGTAACAAAATTGTTCAACCTATACTTTATTCAAAAGTATACAATGTAGTATCTAATTTCACGAACTAAGAATCCCACCTTATGCTACTAACCCAAGTTAGCATAGGTTATGTCAGACTGGAATAGGTTATGTTAGGATAGGTTATTTTAGGTCTGGTTAAAGAGTAGTGATAATGTACAAAGACTACTCTTGAGGGCCACTTTTTATGATAAGTATGCACGAGGCATGAGAGGGGTAAGTTGAAGAACTGGTGAAAGAAAAGCTTTCATTACATACAGTCAAATTAAAGTAAATTATATGGTACTTTTGAAGACCAATTTTTCAGATACAAGTTACATCATGCACAAGACGGTTTGCGAAAATAATTTAAAACCTACCTAACCTTATGTGACCTAACCTAACCCAAGCGAGCCTAACCAAAGATAATACTGTACAGTACTGTACTGTATAACCAATCCTAACAATTAACAAAAAAATCACACTCGGAAAACTAGCATTCTCAAAACATCTTTACAATTTGACCATACCCTTATTTTCAGAGCTACAGTCAAATAATTCACAGGCTCATTGTAGATACTGTTATCTTGAGGTTATCTTGAGATGATTTCGGGGCTTTTTAGTGTCCCCGTGGCCCGGTCCTCGACCAGGCCTCCACCCCCAGGAAGCAGCCCGTGACAGCTGACTAACACCCAGGTACCAATTTTACTGCTAGGTAACAGGGGCATAGGGTGAAAGAAACTCTGCCATTGTTTCTCGCCGGCGCCTGGGATCGAACCCAGGACCACAGGATCACAAGTCCAGCGCGCTGTCCGCTCGGCCGACCGGCTCCCATATATAGTTTATAATCTGTACTTATAGTTATTAAAACATATAGTTAGGTTATGTGGGATTAGGTTGTATTGCTATATCAGATCGATATATATATTAAATTAAGATGGATTTGGTAGGTTTTAATAAAAGAAAATCCATTAGCAAACTGTCTTATGAACGAAATGACCTGCATCCGTTTTATAACATAACTCAACATCGAGCACGTAAATAATATACAGCACATATAGTATAGCACAGTTATACAATATGAGATGGTTTGCATTGTTGCATTTCCTTCCTTTGCACTGCACTCTAGTGTTTTATTCTTTATTGTTCAAATGTGGTAGCCATATTACCGGATACAAGTCATACCATACACAAGATTATATCATACAAAAGAATAAGATAAATGATATTATTATATAAATTATAAGATGGTTCACCTACAGATTTGAAAACTACCTTACCTACCTACCTTGCGATGATTTCGGGGCTTAGTGTCTCTGCGGCCCGGTTCTCGACCAGGCCTCCAAACTACTTTTTTTTATTTATTTATTTATAGATACTGTACATATATACAAGAGTTCTTACATTCTTGTACAGCCACTAGTATGCATAGCGTTTCGGGCAAGTCCTTAATCCTATGGTCCCTGGGATACGACCCCGCGAAAAATTGTTTAACAACCAAGTACCCATTTTACTGTTGAGTTAAACAGAGGCTACAGTTAAGGATTTGCGCCCAGTAAATCCTCCCCGGCCAGGATACAAACCCAAGACAAAACGCTCACGAAACGCCAGGAGTGTGTCTTAACCACTACACCACGGGGACTACCTAACCTAACCCAAACCAACCTAACCTGTGTGTTTCAGTAAGCCTAAATATACAGGCTCCTTGTCTCCAACTTCAAGAATTATTAATGTTTATCTAACATAACCTATTATTGTATCCTGACCAAACTGAGCCTAAGATAGCCTAACCAAAGCTAATACATCCTAACTTTATGATATAAATGGTTTTGACACTCAGAAAATCAGCTTTATTGAACTATCTTGTGAACAATTTGACCAAACACAGTTACCACATACGAAGGTCAATTCATACAAGAGTGCTATACGCATAGGGGGCCCTATGGGGGGCCTGACAGCTGAGTGAACAGCGCTTGGTATTCGTAGTCCTGAGGTTCTGGGTTCAATCCCCTGTGGAGATGGAAACAAATGGGTAGAGTTTCTTTCACCCTGATGCTCCTGTTTACCTAGCAGTAAATAAGTACCTGGGAGTTAGACAGCTGCTATGGGCTATGCTTCCTGGGGGATGTATAACAAAAAGGACGCCTGGTCGAGGACCGGGCCGCGGGGACGCTAAGCCCCGAAATCATCTCAAGATAAGATTGCATCCTTGAGGGGTCAGTGGTTCCACCTTAGGGGGGGGTCAATGGTTCCACCTTAGGGGGGACCTCCATACAACCCTAAAGTATACATACATACATACAGGCTTCCTGTCACCGACAACGGGAATTACTATTAATCGAACCTAGCTGAGCCTAACCAAATGATATTATATATATGGATTTTTAACAAGAAAACGAGCTTTATTGAATGGTGTTGTGTAGGTGTGATGAGCCAAGCTCTCTACTGTACACAGTGTTACTGCCTCAGTCCCAGCTCTTGTTGACTTACCTCTTGAGCTGGCACATCTTCACCACCAGCTACACCCTCACCTCTCTACTACATAGCAAAACCAGCCTTTTATTGCTGATCATTTGGCCAATTACGTGGAAGGTAATCCCGAGTGTTTACGAGTCTCTGCTGCGCTCTCTACAATTGCCCCAAACTATCCTAAACTAATTTAAATACCTAAGTGACGAGATATATAACATCTTTACTTATCATCATGCTGGTGCTGAGCGTGCAATGTTAAAAAGCATAATTGACTCGGAAATACAATTATTTTATGTGGAAATAAGACGAAAATAGGTGGCAGGTGACGCCATAAGAAGTCGACGATCTGAGCGCCTCTATTGTGGAGCGACTTGTCCCAAGTGCAATTATTTATTTATTTATTTATTTATTTATTTATTTATTTATTTATTTATTTATATACAAGAAGGTACATTGGAAATTAACAGAGAATATAGAAATTAAGTTCAATTTAAATTCTTGTAAAGCCACTACATGGTTCCCTCAAGCATAACTTAACTATCAGTACTCACCTAGTTGTGTTCCGGGCCCGTGCCACCTTTTGGGTAGCTTCATCAATCAATCTTCTCAAGGCTGTTGCAGGTTATCACTCAGGCTATGGTGCCAATTACGCAAAGCGAGAAGCTTTTTCACCCCTAGGGTTATCAACCCATGGAATTCCCTACTACAGGTTAAAATCCGGTTGAGGACGTGATTGGAAAAGAGAGGAATGAGATATAAAAGGTTGGGAACCACTGACCTAGGGGTGGGGGGTGGGGGGACAGAACAGGCTTCCTGCCCTAATTAGGAATTAAATAATGATTATTTTTATTTGTGGGAATTCTAGGATAAACTTTCTTGCTTTTCTTTGTTAAAGTGTTTACTCATGTCCTTAATGTGGTTAATTTTTAGTGTTGACCCCATTGGCCTTAAATTACTATATTACTCTATATTCTGTTATGTTCCAAACAAAATGTTATGATAGAGTCCAGTTGATTTTCTAAACTGCGCCATATATTTCCATTCTGTTATTAATGTAAATAAACTACTATACCATTGCTATAATTACTGACACCATATTGTAATAGTCTATGCCTGTCATCCTTAAGTGTCACCTGTTTGACATTCTTTTGATATTTTCCATGAACGTTCTCGTTTTCTCGTTATTGTATTGTATTGCAAAGGGAACACTTGATTGATTGGGTATTAAGGTATAACCGAGGTTGTACGGAACACCACATTTATATAATATGTATATTATGTTGCCTGGCATAATTAAAACTTATATTGATTGTTTTCTGTGTTGTTTTAAATTGTACAATTTTGGCGGTCATTAAATGACACGAAACGTTTCCGCAAAGAAGTCAAAATCAGTCAATCTTATTTTTAACTATTATTTATAGACTTAAATAATCTAAAATCTCAATTTACGATGTTCTTTTGTTATAAACTCTGTCGGTTCCGTTTTCTATATTTGTTTATGTTTTCAGCAGCCCTTATATTTAAATAAATTGGTACAATACAAACTATAATGTGTTAAAAAAAATTAAAGTGCTACTAACAGTTTAGGCATTCCAACGTTTTGCAAAGAATATATTTTAAATTACCTTAAAATTTCATGCTTTTATATTTAGCAGCTAGTTAATGCCATGGAACACAGAAATATAACGTTTTACCTTAATTTACCTGAATTAAAGAATTGTTCGAATGTTTTATATATAAATATATATATAAATATATGCATGAACAATTACGGGATGGTGATCGCAGCAGAATTACTTAATTACTGCAAGGCTTCCCAATATAAGCCCGAAACGAAACGCGTGCTAGTGGCTTTACAAGACTGTAGTTACCATATTTGTATCCTCACATTCCTTATGTACATTCTTGTATATGCATAAATAAATAAATAAATAAATAAATAAATAAATAAGTACTTAATTAGTATTTAATTACTGCAAGACTCTCACAGAACTATTTATTACTGCAAGGCTCTCCCAATATAAGTACTTAATTAGTACTTAATTACTGTAATTACTGCATGACGCTCCCAACAGAGCTACTGCATGAGGTGCCCAATTACACAGAACTACTGGGGCGCCCAATTAAATAGAACTATACATAACTATACTCTCTCTCTCTCTCTTCTCTCTCTTTCTCTGTGCTTACTAGTCATTTCGATGGCAGCCTATATACCTTAGATACACATTTTTAAATGAAAACTAACTAAACCCAAGATAATGTGTGAGGTCTTTTGTGTATTATGAATATATAAACCTGGAGTTATATAGTATTTAGAGGCATAATATACGAGGTCAACTAGGTTAGTAAATTAGTTTAGTTCATTTATTATGACCCCCGGCCATTAACGCGTGAATGGTAGTGGAGAACCCCAAAATTAATGTGGCTAAGCAAGTTACAGTCTGGCTAAAACTGCGTGTGATAAACCTGAAATTGAGTTGGATATGGGCATCCCAATCTCTGTTGTAAAAGCCGCAGTATTACAGGAAATTAGGGAAGACAGAAGATCAGTCACTGACACACAAAGACCAGAAAGTACGAGTATAAAGAGCTATGCCATGTTTAGAACATAGAACTATGTGCACGGGTCGCGTATAACACAGCCACCAGACAGTGTGATATTGTAATTGCCAGAATTAGGTTGTGATATCGATATCTATGGCAGGTGGCTGAAGGGAATGTCTCCCTCAGTGGTGAACATTCCAATTGCAAACTATGTGAAGAAGAGCTGGGACATGCTCTCTCCAACACCACCTCTGTGATGGCCCTGTTATCAATAATTTCAGACCAAATGGTATGAGGTACTTTGAGCTCTGTAACTACTTCATTCACTCAGGAATATTGGAAGATATTCTTGTGTTGTACCCAGAGTTCAGGCTAATAGATCAGCCTCACATCTCATGTTCTCTCCTGATTCCATATATGACTAACCATCATGTGAGATGGGGATAAACTTATAGTTAGTTTTTTATCTATACTGTATAACCCTTCATATAGAATAGGATAGGAGCACACTGCTGTGTATACTTAAACTTGTTAATAACAAAAAGTCCTGGACAATATCTACAGGAAAAAAGTATTCTTTTTGGTTGGCCAGTAAGCTATTGTACTCACCTAGTTGTGCTTGCGGGGGTTGAGCTTCCGGTTAATTACCGAATTGTGCTTTATCCTGATAAATTCGTCCCGCTTCTCAACAGTTAATCAACTGATGTACAGGTTCCTGAGCCTATTGGGCTCTATCATATCTATACTTTAAACTGTGTATGGAGTCAGCCTCCACCACATCACTGCCTAATGCATTCCATTGTGGTAGTTTTGAGGTTGATACAACATAAAACAACAACTAATCACATAGCTTAATGCATAAATGACCAATGGGTTGGATTACATCTACTAATTAACTACTACAACAAGTTTTTTTTATGTATGTTTTATAAATAAAAATGATATTATTATGAGGAGGCGAAGAGAAGCGGCACCGGACGACAACCGTCCTTCACTTCTGGTCTTGGCCAATATGAGGCTGATTGATCGTTAGCAGTTTTACCTCTCCTCTTCCCCCTCCTTTGCCTCACAATGGCAGGGCTCATTAAAAATCAGATACTTAAGCATTTATCAAAGTAAGTATGACAAGCTAGAGCATGTGTGTTGAGGTAGTTAGTGTCCACACCATCGTTGCTCTGGACTTTGGACCTCTTCAACAATATTGCAAAGTTAAGCTTTATATAAGTTGATTGAGCTGTGACTCGCCTCTCTGTGTCTTGACGCTTAAGCTGCATGACCAAACTGATTAAAAGAAATATACTTAGTGCTCCTTCCATAAAGGTTTATCGTGTCGCCTTCATCCAAGCTAAGGTGGCTGCAGATTATGTACCAATCAGGCTGTGATTAGCTGTGGTTGATAATCTTCCAATCATTGTTGTTAACTGACATGGACATGGTTAACTGAGCTTGGACACGGGGGAGATACCAGATGCACTTAAAGTTGCAGACATAGCCCCTCTACTCAAGGGAGGGAGCAAAGCATTGGCAAAAAATTATAGACCAGTTGCACTAACATCGCACATCATAAAAGTATTTGAGAGAGTGATTAGGAGTCAGGTCACCAATTTCATGGAGACCAATGACCTTCACAACCCAGGCCAACATGGATTTCGAGCAGGAAGATCGTGCCTCTCACAGCTACTTGAGCACTATGACAAAGTCACTGAGGCATTAGAAGAGAAACAGAATGCTGATGTGATATACACGGACTTCGCAAAGGCCTTCGATAAATGTGACCATGGCGTGATAGCACACAAAATGAAGTCAATGGGAATAACCGGTAAAGTAGGACGCTGGATACTCAGTTTTCTGTCAAACAGGACTCAGCGAGTAACTGTCAACCATATAAAATCTAGTCCAAGTGCAGTGAAAAGCTCTGTACCTCAGGGTACAGTCCTTGCACCACTGCTTTTCCTTATTCTCATATCAGATATAGACAAAAATACAAGTCACAGCTTCGTATCATCCTTTGCAGATGACACAAAAATCAGTATGAAAATTACCTCGGCTGAGGACATTGAAAAACTTCAAGCTGATATTAATAAAGTTTTTGACTGGGCATCAGAAAATAACATGATGTTTAACAGTGATAAATTCCAGGTACTCAGGTACGGTAAAAATGAGGACCTTAAACATAATACAGAGTACAAAACACAATCAAATGTACCCATAGTAGGAAAACAGCATGTAAAGGATTTGGGAATAATAATGTCTGACGACCTAACGTTTAAGGAGCATAACCAAGCAAATATTGCGACAGCCAGAAAAATGATAGGATGGATTACGAGAACTTTCAAATCCAGGGATCCCATCACAATGGTTGTACTCTTCAAGGCACTTGTGTTGTCCCGTCTTGAGTACTGCTCAGTACTCACTTCCCCCTTCAAAGCAGGAGAGATTGCTGAAATAGAGGGAATACAGAGAACATATACGGCACGCATAGACGCAATAAAGCACCTAAATTATTGGGATCGTCTCAAAGCCCTCCAAATGTACTCACTAGAAAGAAGACGAGAGAGATATCAAATAATATACACCTGGAAGATACTGGAGGGCCAAGTACCAAATCTACACAGTAAAATAACAACGTACTGGAGTGAACGACATGGAAGAAAATGTAGAATAGAACCAATGAAGAGCAGAGGTGCCATAGGCACAATCAGAGAACACTGTATAAACATCAGAGGTCCGCGGTTGTTCAACGTCCTCCCAGCAAGCATAAGAAATATTGCCGGAACAACCGTGGACATTTTCAAGAGGAAACTAGATTTATTCCTCCAAGGAGTGCCGGACCAACCGGGCTGTGGTGGGTATGTGGGCCTGCGGGCCGCTCCAAGCAACAGCCTGGTGGACCAAACTCTCACAAGTCGAGCCTGGCCTCGGGCCGGGCTTGGGGAGTAGACGAACTCCCAGAACCCCATCAACCAGGTATCAACCAGGTATGACATGCCACAAATATCCAGGCACTTGACAATGCCTTGCAAAAATTTCAACACTCACCTATGCTGGTGTCTCGTCAATCTGAAATGACGTGACTGGAACGCAGTTGGTTTACCTACGTTGGAATCATCGTGGCAAGGAGCACTCTACAGTCTGTGGGATTGTAGCTACTTCAGAAGCGTATCTCAGGTGGTGACGGATTATTTGAATGAAAAATGAATTGCTTATTACTATATATTGTTTTGAATACTTTTCTGACATGGACAGTATGACATTAGTGTAGCCTTACCCTATCAATTAATTACAAATATTTTTCTTGGTAGTTAGAGCAGCATTGCTCGGTCGAGTGACCATATGTTAAATGATCGAGTTCATCATATGCAAATGTATTTTTGAGTCATTTAGTGTTTCATTTTGCTCATTTAACCATTATCAAGGGCAAACACAGAAATTGTCTCCTTTCAATTGTCAATAAAATCCACGTATATTTATCTAAAATACAACCCAGAATTATTTTTGAGCAAGAAGAGGTTGAGTTACATGGACTTGTGACTGTGATGTTGACAGCTAGTTGACCAGACCACACACTAGAAGTTGAAGGGACGACGACGTTTCGGTCCGTCCTGGACCATTCTCAAGTCGATTGTGGTCTTTGACTTCACAATCAATCACTTGAGAACAATCGACTTGAGAATGGTCCAGGACGGACCGAAACGTCGTCGTCCCTTCAACTTCTAGTGTGTGGTCTGGTCAACATACTTCAGCCACGTTATTGTGACTCATCGCTTGACAGCTAGTCATTCCTCATATGTCATAATTTATTTCAAAAGACACCACCAATTTGTGGCAAGAAAGCCCACTGAAACAAATCTTTCTTTGATCGATTGCTTCCCAGTTAACATTGCTGAACTATCAGAAAGGGAAGAATTTGCCTGAATTTACCTGAGGGACCACAATCTTTGATGACCTCGATGAAGACAGGAAGCCGGCGGCTTGTCAAAGGACCCACCAATGTTCCTGAATATTTTTTCCAGCTGGATTTTAAACTGAAGTAGTGTTTTACACATTTATGGCTTCAGGGGGGTAGACAGTGCCCTGGGGCTTGAAACACTAAGGGTGAACCAGTTATGAATGTAGGGCTACGTTGTGAATTGTCAGCCACACGTGTCTCGGAAAACCTCCACCTCTGCAGTGATACTGATGAGTACAATCGGAACACTGATGCAGTATTCCAATACCCCCATGCTTAATTAACATTGTTTTTAAGAGGTTAAAATTTCTGACATTATAATGCTCTTAATGACTCGGTAATTAGAATAGGGCCATAGGGCCAATAGAATAGGAACAAATTAATGACTGGGCCAGTTGTTTCCTGTACAACTGTTGTGACTTGTAAAACAAAGCTACAATAATACAATGAGGATTAAAGCTGCAAGGAAAATATTTGTAGATTCATTTATTTTTCTTTGTTTCTGTTAAGGTTGTGATAAGGAAAAACACAAAACATCCATACTCTTATAATAAATAATAGTAATAAAAATAAATAAATAATGTTTATTCAGGTAAAAGTATGTACATACAGGATGAGTTACAAACAGAATGTTGAATTTGTAGATACAGTATAGCTAGTACATACTAGGTAGGATGTCTAAAGCTACTAATACCCACAGCGTTTGAGGCTGTTGGGCACTGGCTGGCCTCGCTTCTTGCAGGTCAGTGTTTGATCCATGATGGACCAAATGGTTGGGAACCATTTCTTCACTCTATTCTCCTCTTCCAGCTCCTAACCTGTCCTCATAACACTTCCAGGGGCTATTTAGTCATACTGGCTTAGTGCTTTATCCTGATAATTACCTTGCACAGTCTTCGGATACAGTTTATTACTTGTTATGCACCTTTCTGAATTTACCCGAGGGCCCCTAACTCACTAGTGGCCTTGATGAAGACAGGAAGCCAGGGTTATCTTGTGTAGCCAGCATTTCTAGTGGGTATAACAGTGTCATTCACAGTTTAGGGACAATATGTTTACTTGATAGCAATAGGGAACAAATTAATTTATATATAATTGTAAAATTACTATTAAAAATGATATTCATAAGAACCATGCACTGACTCAATTTTTTTTTTAATGTTTTTTCTAATAGGGTTCTGAAAAATACCTTTCATATTTAAATCTATTTTAGAAGTATCAGCACTGTATATTGGAAAATGACCTGAGACAGGCAACTGTTCAGAACTCTGAGACTTTACCTGAATTTACCTGAGGGCCACTATCTCTAGAAGCCTAGACAAGGACAGGAATCCGGTGGTTTTGCAATAGTGTTGATGGGCACTGCATGATATATAGTGTAATATGCATGTTTACACAAGTGAAACTTCTTCACTTAGAGTAGATGCCAAACCAACCTGAGAGAGAACCAGCACTGAGGTGAACCAGTCTCCAATCACACAACACAACCTAAACAAGTGCCTCATCTTGGATACTCAATAGAATTTGATGTCACTTTATGTAGTTCAAGTTTCCTCTATTTCATACCATGCATGTTTCTAAAGAGTTAATGTTGATATTTTGTATTCCACCTGTATCATCAATTAATTTTCCCAAGTGGCTGAGGACCAGTGACTATTTAATATACTGGGTATTTTATATAATGTATATTATTTCAGATTTGCAAAAAATGTATCGTCAGACAGTGTAAACGTGAGCACTCTGAAGGGAGAGGGAGAACTCACAAACTTAGAGCTTAATGAAGCTGTACTGACAGATCTTCTTGAGCTTCCGACATGGCTTCGTATCACACGAGCAAGAGTAAACAAAGTCAGCCTGAAAATACAGTGGACGAAGCTCAAGAGTGTACCCATAGTTGTGGTGAGAATACTGTATCTTCGTTGTCTCTTTAATGTCACCATTTTATTATTTGGGTATCAGAATTTTCTATACATATAAAGTATTATATTATTGTAGCCTCATCCGTATTATTAAGTACATATGTTGATTTCATAAATATAGGATTCTTAATTTTAACTTCATTAACTTTAAGTCTTGTGAATGAAAGTTTGCTTCCAGAGTGACACACACTGTATTGAGGAGTCGTAAGTCTGCTTACATTAAAGATCACAGCTATAGAGGGCCCTGTTCATTGAGTATGTTTGAGAACCCCGTGGTGAAGTGGTAAGACACTCGCCTGGCATTTCATGAGCGCTTTGTCCAGGGTTCATATCCTGGCCGGGGAGGATTTACTGGGCGTAAATTCTTAACGGTAGCATCTGTTTACCCAACATTCAAATGGGTATCTGGTTGCTGAACGAGTTGGCAGGATCGTATTCTGGGAACATAGGATTAAGGACTTGCCCGAAATGCTATGCATGCTAGTGGCTGTACAAGAATGTAAGAACTCTTGTATATAAAAAAAAAAAGTTGTGTATTGTAGTCTATGGATGAGAGAACCAGAATAGAAGGTAGAGTACCTAATGTGGTAGAAAAACTTCATTTGTATGCATAACTTTATGTGCCCTCCTACCTTACCTTGAGGTTACCTTGAGGTGCTTCCGGGGCTTAGCATCCCCGCGGCCCGGTCGTCGACCAGGCCTCCTGGTTGCTGGACTGATCAACCAGGCTGTTAGACGCGGCTGCTCGCAGCCTGACGTATGAGTCACAGCCTGGTTGATCAGGTATCCTTTGGAGGTGCTTATCCAGTTCTCTCTTGAACACTGTGAGGGGTTTGCCAGTTATGCCCCTTATGTGTAGTGGAAGCGTGTTGAACAGTCTCGGGCCTCTGATGTTGATAGAGTTCTCTCTCAGAGTACTTGTTGCACCTCTGCTTTTCAACGGGGGTATTCTGCACATCCTGCCATGTTTTCTGGTCTCATGTGATGTTATTTCTGTGTGCAGGTTTGGGACCAGCCTCTCAATTATTTTCCACGTGTAAATTATTATGTATCTCTCCCTCCTGCGCTCAAGGGAGTACAGATTTAGGCTCTTTAGTCGGTCCCAGTAATTTTGATGTTTTACTGAGTGGATTCTAGCAGTAAAGGATCTCTGCACGCTCTCCAGGTCAGCAATTTCTCCAGCTTTGAAAGAGGCTGTCATTGTGCAGCAGTACTCCACTCTAGAGAGCACAAGCGTTTTGAAAAGTATCATCATCGGTATAGCATCTCTAGTGTGAAAAGTTCTTGTTATCCAACCTGTCATTTTTCTTGCAGTTGTAACGTAACGGCTATTTTATTGTGTTCTTTAAAGGTAAGGTCTTCCGACATGAGTACACCCAGATCCTTTACATTGCCTTTTCGTTCTGTGTTATGATTTGCCCGAGTTTTGAACGTGGTTTCCGTTTTTATATTTTCAATTTTTCCATAGCACATGAGCTGAAACTTATCCTCGTTAAACACCATATTATTTTCTGTAGCCCATAGAAAGACCTGATCTACATCTGATTGGAGGTTTGCCGTGTCCTCTATGTTGCCAACTCTCATGAAAATCCTAGTGTCATCTGCAAAGGATGATACAGTGCTATAGGTTGTGTTCTTGTCTATGTCCGATATGAGGATGAGAAAAAGTACTGGAGCAAGCACAGTACCCTGGGGGACTGAGCTCTTCACGGTTGATGGGCTGGATTTTATTTTGTTGACTATTACACATTGGGTTCTGTTAGTCAGGAAATTGTAGATCCATCTGCCTATTTTCCCGGTAATTCCTTTTGAACGCATTTTATGTGCAATAACACCATGGTCACATTTATCAAAAGCTTTTGCGAAATCTGTGTAAATTACATCAGCATTTTTTTTGTCTTCCATAGCATCTAATGCCATATCATAGTGGTCCAGCAACTGCGACAGGCAAGAGCACCCTGTTCTGAAACCATGCTGTCCGGGGTTATGGAGATGCTGTGATTCCATGTATTTTGTGATCTTACTTCTTAGCACTCTCAAAAATTTTTATGATGTGCGATGTTAGTGCTATCGGTCTGTAATTTTTTGCCTCTGCCTTATTTCCTCCTTTATGGAGTGGTGCTATCTCTGCTGTTTTTAGTATGTCAGGGATAATGCCAGTATCTAGGCTTTGTCTCCACAGAATGTGAAGGGCCTGCGATAGTGGTTTTTTACAGTTCTTGATGAGTATGGAGTTCCAAGAATCCGGGCCTGGTGCAGAGTGCATAGGCATACTGTTTATGGCTTCTTCAAAATCTAGTGGGGATAGGGCGACGTCTGATATATGATTTGATGTTGGTATCATATCCATGAAAAATTCATTTGGGTTATCAATCTTTAGTGCGTTTAATGGCTCGCTGAAAACAGAGTCGTACTGCTTCCTCAGTAACTCGCTCATTTCTTTGTTGTCATCGGTGAAAGTTCCATCTTCCTTTTGCACAAATACAAACCCTCCCACACAAATACAGTACAGTATATTAATTTTGTCCATTCAACACTGCTCAGCTTTACTAAATACTGTAAACTGAAGACATGATAATATTAATAAAGATGTAGAAAGTGTCAAAAATATAGAATACTCACCTAAGGTTCAAGTGTTCCTCCATATGTAATCTTAGAATGATGTCTTATGTTAGCTAAGGCAATATTTTGTCCAACACATTCCTCTCAGTTTTGAACAATCCCTCTGTATGCCTTATCGGTGCAGAGTCTTGTCCTTGGGAATAGCAGGCATTCGTCTAAGGAAGCAGTCATGTGCCTTTCTCAAAAAGCCTTTTATTTACTAATAAAGCTACTGTACTTTACACTCTCATCCTTATTTTCACACTAATTTAATATCTAAATTTGCTTGCTTTGTACCAAACAACTTTCTATTTTTCATTCATACAGTATTTATTTCCAAAGTTATTGTGCAACTTGTCATAGTAATTTAGCTTTTAGTAGTAATTGAGTAATTGCCCGAAATACTGTGCATATTAGTGGCTTCAGGCACTGTATGTACTAGCTCTATCTATTAATCCGACATTATATTTGTAACTCATTTTCAGTGTATGTACCTTGACCTGAATAAATATCTAAATATCTTATCTATCTAAATATCTTAACTATCTAAATGTCTCATCTATTCTCATCTTAATAATGTGTGTGTTTTACAGAGCCTGGATGAAGTTCAGGTGGAAATGGAGACATGCACCGAACTGCGATCACAAGGTGGCCAGTCCGTCCTCCCATCCTATAGTTCGGGAGGACGCTATGGCTTCTCTGACAAGGTCATTGATGGCATGACTGTTACTGTTAACTCAGTGCTAATCACCTTCCGTAGTCCTGCATTTCATGCTTCATTTCAGGTAATTCATTACTGTACAGTATATTTTCTTAAGTTTTAGCTGACATAATGTCTAAAGCAGTTCTCGCTCTTCCAGGTATGCTGTTAAAGCTATTGTGTACAGTACAGTGGTACCTCGCATAACGAATTTAATCCGTTCCATGTTCGTCATGTGAAACGGACGTCATACAAAACAAGTGTCCCTCCATGTAACCAGTGTGATGCACTGTGTTTATTGTGAAATTCCCCCAGTGTGCATGACATCAAATGTTCCCCAAAATATCATTTTTCTTTGCAAAATGATAAATTACCGTCCCTGAACATGTCTATGTAAAAATAATTACCAAATTCCACTTACTTTGGCTGTGAGGGAGTCGACAAGGTGCGCTGTGACGTCATCAGGGCTGGTCGCCCGTGTGTGAAGCTCCCAGACACGGTCGCGCAGGCCATTCAAGCACCGCGTGTTGCCACAAATATATTTTCAAATATTTTTTCTATGCATTTCCAATGCGGTTTTATTTGTTTCTTTTATCGTATATGATGCATATTTGTGACCTTTACAATATGTATACAGTAGAATGTTCATAATTTTCCATGAAACTGTGATACATGTGTCAGTAATGTGTCCACAATAAATGTTTATTGTCACAATATTACGTGGTAAAAATTCACTAAAATTACAATATGTACAGTTTCACATATTATTTACACAATAATACACTGTATTACACACTCAGTACTTTGGAGGTACGTAATAGTCAATGAAGTAGTCCATGGTACACAGCGCGACTTTGCTCTCCTTGCACCAGCTACAGATAGATTTTCGTTTCCTGTTTCATCGTTCTGTGTGCTTGCAAATAACGCACTCGCGTGCACCCTTGGCTTTAGTACTTGTAGGTGGTATGTAGCCAAGCTTGTAAAGCATATGGTAGTATTGAAACGATTATAGGAAAAGCTCAATTTGTAAGGTAGTCTTGAAAAGATCGCTTTGTAAGGTCCCACACAGGAAGAGATTCAGCTAGCCTCAAAGAGTGTCCATCAGTCAGGAAGAGATTCAGCTGGCCTCAAAGAGTGTCCATCAGTCAGGAAGAGATTCAGGTATTCTTGAAAATATCAATGAACAACACCACCATGGAAGCTGCTAACACTGTTCATCTATGCTACTTGTATCAGATGCATCATCACTGAACGCAGAAAACGATTCATCTATGTATCATCTATATAAATTCGAGATGGCCAGGGTGGGGCTCAGAGCTACACCTGGATACGCTCGCTGTATCATCCTCATAGGTGCTGTATCACTGGCATCCGACCATTGTGTTAAGCCCTTATTGCGCCTAGCTTCACCAATGTTATGACCCTTATGTTCTTCAAACAATAGGGTCTGAATTGCACCGACTGAGCGCAGTCTTTCAACACCGTGTGGGACAGGTGTTTGAGAGCCAGAGGCACGTGTGCCACAAATGGTTGCTCACACAGTACTAACCCAGCCAGCAGCCCTTGTCTTTCATATTCGTTATAGCAAAAGGTTCGTTCAGTGTTTGTTGGGTAGGCTGCTCCATTATGACAATCTTTCTTTGTTTCAAATGTGTTCCATTTGTTTTGTATTTGTCACTTATGTCTCAATAATGGAGCAGCCTACCCGACAAACACTGAACGAACCTTTATGGCATTTGTCCATTTTTCAAATTGTTTCAACAGTTCTTTTATTTTTCGTTTTTTTTTTTTATTTAAGAAACATGGAGCAGCCGACCTGTAGACGACCGAACGAACCTTTTTGACATTTGTACTGGTTTTCAAAAATCTTCATTTTTTTATTATTTACGTTTTTTGTATGTAAGAAACATGGAGCAGCCTACCTGCCGACCACCGAACGAACATTTTGCTATAAGACAAATGAAAAATAAATATTGAACACATTTGAAGAAAGGAAAATGTCATAATGGTTTATTCAGTGTATGTAAGGTAGGCTTCTCCATTATTGAGACGTAAATGACAAATACAAAACAAATGGAACACATTTGAAACAAAGAAAGATTGTTATAATGGAGCAGCCTACCTGCCGAACACCGAATGAACCTTTTTGACATTTGTTGTATATCAGACATTTCATTTCTTTTTTCCTACAAAAACGTCAATGCTTTGCAACATCTCAGCAGTCACCCTTTTATATCCCAGTATCATTAGCATCTTTAAACAAGAACAACATAATTTATGTGCATCGTCGGAGGCGTCTAAGAATGTGCAAGAAGCAGCGCGACCCCACCTGGCCCACCATGTGGTGTTGACGTTACTCAAACCAGCGTTCGTCATACGGGACAATTTGACGCCGATCGGGCCGTTCGTTACCCAAAATGTTCGTCTTTTGGGGCGATCGTTATGCGAGGTACCACTGTATTTTGTTTCTTTAAGTGTGCATGTGATAATGTCACATATATTAACGGAGTAAAGGTAGTGTTTACAACAAAATTGTCAAACATTTTAGATATTAGGCCCATTTGCAGTCCCTGATGGTGAAGTGTTCCCAGTTAGTGTTCACCATGTGCCTCATGAGTGACTTTGTTCTGAGTTCGAGTTCTGGTCAGGGAGGATTGACTAGGCATCAATCCTTGACTGTTCGCCTCTGTTCACTTGGTCGTATGTAATTGGGATTATAGTTGTTGTTGGTCAATTGGCTGTTCGTGTTCCAGGGAAAACGTACATGCCATGGTAAGGGAGAGCTTCTCAGCTTGCTAACAAGAATCAGAAGTTGTCTACTCATGTACCCATCTGTGTAAGAAAAACTCATATACACTTGGAAAGCCCTTTCCAAGCCCTCTTTGGTGACCCCTGATAGTACGTTTGTGTTTCCAGTAAACCTTCCACCTTCCAGAAAGGAAGGTGTTTTCAGCACCTTGAATGTTGCCCTGCTGGACTAAACAAGAGCTACCCTTTTAACAGTGGAAGCTTGCCTTAAGAGGCAACTAAGTAAAACTATTAAAAAGTGCACTTAAAGCCTCTTTTGTGTATTAATTTAGACAAAAAGAAAACTCTGCTTCTCTAGAATGGTGGTATTGGATGTGTTTTTTTCATGACCAGTACTGTAATAATATGAGTTTGAGTTCTTCACACTTAGGTTATAAGATCATTTATGCACCATTTCTTCCCGCCATCGTATCCAAGCTCCTTGTCCTCGTATCCCTTTCAAGTGCTATATAGTCATACTAACTTGGAGCTTTTTCCTCATAATTACCTTACCTTTATCATATCTTTCATCAATAATATTAAATAATATGCATTTTGTCTCTCTAGCTTTCTCGAATCGTACTGGATTCCAAAAACCCATTCTGGCTCAAGGCAGACCTTCGGACAACACGGCTGAAAGATGTAGATCGAGGAGAAGTACTCATCTTCAAAGAGGTAATTTTGCTACTTTGAATAGATATAGTCTGCCTGTCAAACATTGATGTTGCATGGGTTAAGGAATACAGTACACCTCTGGCACCTCATTTTAATCCATTTCCAATGACACTTATTTTGATCCTTTACTTTTCTTGTCCATTTTGGGTCAAGCAACTTAATTATTTTTGCAATTTTTTGTGCATCAGTATTAAGATAGTAATTTGTTCTTTCCAGTGGTACAAGTCTGTTTTCTAATAGAAAATATGATCCAAGTAACTTGGTAACAGACCATAAGGCTTTTTTAAACATAAGTTATCATTAAATACAACCAATAATAATTACAGTTTGTGGAGAGTCCGTACCAGAAAATTTAATAAAATTGGACTAGATGTGTGCTATTCATATACAGTATATCATGTAGAACATATATATTGCAGTACAGTTGGTTTTATTCTTGAGTCAAAATCAGAGATCCTGAGTTTGATTCCCGGGGTGGACAGAAATGGTTGGGCATGTTTCCTTTCACCTGATGCCTCTTCATCTAACAGTAAATAGGTACCTAGGAGTTTAGCAGCTGTTGTGGATTGCATCCTGGGGTGGGTCAGCAGTTTGATCTTCGGGGAAGACCTGGACACGTGGTGGAATCGAAGAAGCACAAATACATTAGGCCACCTCTCCTCACTTCTTGAGTGCCACCTGGCCCATGCACACCTCAAGATGACCTGTCTAGGAATTACAGGCATTCTAACCCCTCGAACGTGTCGCCCAGCTCTTATAAGATACGAGAGCTATGTTCAGTGTGAACTGCACATTATCCAAATCATTTGTTTGTGAATGACATATGCCATTTACAGCATTAAATATATGCTCATATATGAACAGATGTGTGTTCATATGTTTTCTTGCTTTGTGTTGGATACAGTTATCATTGGTTACCAGGCATTTGGATACCATGTGTTCAACCTAAAGTATACAATACAGTACTTCTTTTTGTGAATTGAGCAACCATAAGTTGGGTGGACTATCATATTATGGACAATTTTCAACTGTAGATCTCCCTGTATAAAGTCAGAGAAGATTCAAAACCCTTCATGAATTCCAAATTTTTATTCAAATTTGGATTCATTGTAAACGTGCCTTCAGTTGCCCCTCCCAACAATTCGCAAATATTTTACAAAAACTACATAAATATCTCGTGTGTTTTTCTGGCTTATTTATGTTGTGACCATCACTGATGAATGTTGTAGTCTCCTCACTCTCATGACTTACATTTGTGGTGGTTTCTATATTCTTTTTAAGTTCTTCATAGGGATATCTTTGGGTGTACTAGGCTTTGCAGAATGATTGGGAGGAATTATGCTGTAAGAATGTAACACAAACCATTTATGAGAGGTGAAACAGTTGGCACGAGTCATAAAGGTCGTAATGTGGTATTGGGTCACACAACACTAACTGGGCTGAGCAGTGGGAGGTGAAATGTAATGCTGGCCAAAAAAATAATCTGGACAATGAGACCTGCCAGTCATGTGCAAAAAATGGAATTGTGTGTGTGTGTGTGTGTGACTATGACAGTAAACTTATTATTTTGGAATTAGTTAATGCCAAATTGTGTTCTTGTAGACCAGACAACACACTAGAAGGTGAAGGGACGACGACGTTTCGGTCCGTCGTGGACCATTCTCAAGTCGATTGTTGACTTGTGTTTTTGTACACTTACTTTCTTCAAATTTGCAGATGGAGGACTGACTATATTTCAGATTTTGGTATTTATTCCATGCACTTGCAAGTATAAGTTTTTACTTAATATGCATGTCTAAATTAATTAGTTTGATCTCTTTCTATCTTATTTACCTTCATTCAGTTTTTAACTTTGTCATTTGCCATCAGATGTGCACACTTAACCATAAGTTTGTTTTGGGAGTACTGTACCTAAATGGACAACTTCTTTTGAAAGATCATATTAGAACTCATTAATCAAATGACTGTGCTTGTCAGAAAATTGGTTTAGTTTTCTGTACAAAGTTTGTAATTAGAAGTAGATAATATAATTTTCTTCTGTTAATAGAATGTAATTTATACTACTGATTTGCATGCATTATTTACATTGCTCATTCAGAATGGTATTTTTCCGTGTTAATTTCAGCTCTCTTGGCAAACGTTACGGATAGAAGCTCGGTCAACTCGTGACCAAACGCTCACACCCCTCAGACTTATAACTAATCAAGCACGTTGCAGAATTACTATTAAAAAGAAATTAGCAGGTAAAGTGTGGTAGTAGCATGTCAAGTTTCCGAATGTTTTTACATAACTATGTGAGCAATAGAGGATGTTCTCAAAGCAAAAATCTTAGTTTTCTGTAATGAAAAAGCTAATTTGTATGAAAAATGATTTCACAGACTGCTCGGTAGTTGGGTGTCGTCTGGTGTTGCTGATGGACGATGTGTTGTGGGTGTTAACCGACTCCCAACTCACTGCAGCTTTCCATTTTCTTGACTCGCTCTCGGATCTAATTCGACAAGCAACTCAGCAATCACAAAAAACAAAGGCTATAAGGAAGCTAGAAGTAAGTTAAATATATATTTAACTGATAAAAATAAAATACATTGTCTGGAAGGCCTTCAATGTTGTTCTAGGAAGCTGCCAAGGACCTGCCAGCTAATGCCTCTTTTGTCAGAAAGAGGCATTTCATTATGTTCAATGCCTTATTTATATTTATTTTCCCCCCAGAATTAAGTGAGTACTTGCCAGGAGGCAAACTTGTGAAGCCTCTCATTTTCCCCTAAGAAGAGAATGGGGCCTAAGTTGAAGTACCACTGCAAGAGTATTTAAGATAAAAAAAGATCAGATGGTGTCACCTCAAAAGAAGATGATAAACATAAAATAAAATCACTGGATAGGTTTGACAGTTTTTGTTGTTGTTCTTACTAATTCCTTATCTCTATTGTTTGAGGAAAAGGCTTTGGTACACAAAGGGTGTATGTAAAGTACAGTGGGGCCTCGATTTACGATGGTAATCCGTTCCCAGAGAAGTATCATAAGTCGAAACGATTTTTCCCACAAGAAACAAAGGGAATTGAATTAATCCATTCCACACCCCCAAAAATATTAACTTAAAAATTCATTTTATACTGAATAAAAAATTATCTAACTACAATACAGTACATATGTTTATCTTATCTTTATGGAGGACTCTTGATGGCGTATGGAAGATGGTGAGGAGGAGGGAGGAGGAGAAGAGGTGTTAGTGTTTGGAAGGGGAGTTCCCTTCCATTATCACATCAGGCAGTGATGACTTTTCTGGGATACACTCTCTGGCACGTTTTGCCTGCATACCACTAGGACCTGCTTGAGACTCCCTGCTTGCTTGTCTTACTAAGAATCTGTCTAAAGACACTTGTTTTTTCCCTACATTTTAACACTTGTCTGTAGTAAGACATCACATTGTCATTTAAAGGTCAATGCAATGGCCTGCTACAGCTTTATCTGGGCGAGTTTTTTCAATAAAACTTTGCTGTTCTTCCCATACTTCACACATTTAAGGAAGGGACATCCTCTACTACCTCTACTCACAACTATTTTCTTAGGTTGAACCTTAACAGTGACTTTCTTGGGACCCATGGTGTGATATATAATAATTAGTTTAATGTTCAAAAAGCAAAAAATCACCAAAAAAAGGAATTTTTTATAAGCGTGATCATCACTAAGCGAGCGGCTCTAGTAAACTGAGGCAGGTCGGCCCGCACGACCGGGAACCTTGCGCTTGGTCGACCCAAACGTGTATCAATGAATATTGTTAGTCGACGACACTATCATAAGTCGAGTCGCATTTTCCGATCAAATTTATATCGTAAGTCGGGGCAATTGTAAGCCGAGGTGCCACTGTAATTAACTATTTCAGTTTTTCCTTAATTTTCATCCTCTGCTGTAAATAAATACTGTCCAGTAAAATGTTTAGCCGTGTTTGTCAGTCAGTATTCATAGCCTTTGTTCATTGGTTATTTATTATTTATTAATATATATACAAGAAGGTACATTTGGTTTGAGATTATAGCATTGAGGTTTTTACATTCTTGTAAAGCCACTATTACGCCTAACGTCTCAGGCAGAAACGCCCGAAGCGTTATTCCTTGGTAAACTTTTATGCCGGTGGGTCATTAATCTTCCATTAAATTTTATATATGGAAATTCAGGACTATGGGAGCATAATACAGTACAGTATTACAAATTGACCTCATGTCGGGCAGCATACAATGGACCACATGTCGGGGCAACATTCGGGTTTATGAAGTGTAAGCTCTGCCATCAATACTATTAAAGTCCTAACAAATTTGTCTTCCTTTTCCATTTTCTTTGACAGTCTTTGCCGGAGTTCCAGGCACAGCAAACACAGCATGTCGGAGGAAGTGGTGCACAGCAACGTGGAGCTAAAGTCAGCAGTGGTAGATGGGCACCACAGGCCCAAACCAATCTGACTAAAGCCTTTAACAAGTATGATGTGCCGGAGACTTCCTACCACTTTTATTCGGAGAGGATCGACTTGCATTTTTGTGATGATCCTGGACGTAAGTACATTCACGTTTTGAATGCAAGTCTGTGGCAATATTTTTGTAGTACACATTGAGATTGTGACATAGGCTGATATTTTTGGGCAATTTTCTGTCTGTGCATAAGAGATAATTACTTTTTAAGCAGTTTGGTATTTTTTTCCCCTTCATTTTCATCTGACTTTGGTACTAGTTCTTTAGTAGTTAATTTTTTTTATTCTTAATATTAATAAAGTTTTAATGTTTGCCACTTCCATCACTGTTATGTGTTCATTTTTTATACAACAATATTTACTATGAATTAACTACTGCACCAGATATATGGAAACACTTTTATCATTGACATACATATGTGATAACCTCACATCTTACTGTGTGTTGCAATAAGCCCTATATTTCCTGTGATAAGGGCATTGGGTAGGTGGGCTGGGCACCCATTTTCCCTAATTTCTTTCCTTCCACAAAGGGCAAAATTGTTCATGAATCTGGGGGCATGCATCTACTCAGGTCCTAGAGAACACAGAGAGCTAGTTTGAATTTTAGAGGACTAACTCTAAAATAAATGATGCTAAAAGTTGTGAACATTCATATGGAAGGTTAGTTTCATGCGTTAGATTTATGCGAGACAATCGGAAAGTGAGAATGAAGAGTGTTATTGAGATACGGATTATAGGAAGCAGGAGTGAGAGAAAATATCAGAAGCAAGTCTTGGCAGGTGTTCTCACTGTGGTGTACAGTACATGTACCACAAAGATACGTGTGGGGAAATTTTTTTATGGGGGGGGGAGGATTCTTAAAATACTGGTACTTTCAGTTTATGTAAAACTTGTCTGTAGAAAGTATCGCAAACTACCCAGGGGTACATATACAGTACTTCGAGGGCCTAGGGACACGTGTATCCCAGGTGAGAATCCCTGCATTGAATGAATGAAGAGTTGTGTCTTGCTGTGAATGACTTGGGTCACAGTTCAATTTCTTGTGTATGTGACATTCATGTTTAAATGGTATAATTGAAGTGAAAATGAAAGTATTGTTTTTTATTTTTTGTAATATGGAGAATGAGATCCGTATAATACAAAAATCTTATAGATTTGAGATGGGCAATTTGCATGGTAGAGTAGTCGTCTTAAAAGGGATAGCATCTTTGGATAAGGTCCCCCACCACCCCTAATTTGCCTAGGGTGGGGGAAGGACCATGGTAAGATGAAGAGGTTTCTTATCCACAACTATAGGTACCCACACTTTACATAAGTGCACAAGGTTCAGGGTGAATGGTTAAGATGTGGGGAAGAAAGTCACTGACATTAACATGCATCTCACTACAAGTATAAAGTACATGCTGGGTATAGTAACTGATGTAAAAGTCGTAAAAGGGCATATCAATATGCTATGTTTTCCTTACCAAACTTACAGTAATGTGATGTATTCATCGGAAACATTTGGGGGCCATGCAGTGGGACTGAACGCACAATTCTGGCCTCCCAGATAGTGTGCTCAAGGCAGGCTAGAGGCGTGAGTTCAATTGCATCGTAATGCTCCAAAATTTCCTTAGTGGGGGGTTGTCTTGCCTCATAATGGTGCTATGTAAAATTAAAATATATGGATAATGGTGGCAGAGAAGGCTCCAAGAGGTGGTGTAGGATTAAAGGTTGAGAGAAAATCAAGTTATTTTGTGAATACAAAGAGTTTACACTGATCTTGGAGCAAGAGTGTATGAACAAAAGAACTTCATTTGATATGTTTGGTGTATACGAGGAATGTGCAGCTAAGACTACTAGGGTAGTGTGTAGTGTTGCATAAATGGGGATAAAAATGGTAGGCAGGGCTTGGTGGGTGAATTGAAGTGTGAGGGATACCGTGAACATGAATACCAGCAGATATATCTGGGGAAGAGGAAGGTGTATAAATGATAAGACTGAAGTGTGGGAAGCTGCAGGTGTGGAGGAAGAACACACACACACGCATACACCCACTTGTGCTCTCTCATGCACTTTCACTCTCTCATACACATTCATTCCCACATTTATACACACACTCACTCTCTACATATAAATGTATTTATTGTGCACATATATTAAAACTAATCTAATTATTTGAATAAGTTTCTGGGCTGAGCCTCGGGAGCTCCCTGATGCACAATGCTGCTAGGTGTCGGGACTTGTGCTGTCTACCGAACACCAAGAATAGAGTCTGATGTGCTTGTAAAGGCAAGGAGTAATATGGGCATCCAAGATCTACTTCATAACCAAGTAAAACTGGCCAGAAAGTGCAAAGTAAAAGTAAATTATGTATACAGACAAGGAGTCACAATAACGTGGCTGAAGTATGTTAACCAAACCACACACTAGAAAGTGAAGGGACGACGACACAATCGACTTGAGAATGGTCCAGGACGGACCGAAACGTCATCGTCCTTTCACTTTCTAGTGTGTGGTTTGGTCAGCAATAAACTATGTATCTTGACAAAAAGTAGAGGTGATGGATGCAGGGATAGCTGTAATTTGCCCCAGTGTTAATAAATCATGTATATCATATACATATCATGTATCCAAGCTCACCACCAGATGGTCCCTCTGGTATTCCATGGTTCAGTTTGTCTGCTTGTCTCACATAGGTGCCACATAGGTGCCTTCCCTGAAATGTCCCCGATCCTAACTGAGAACAAAAGCGGGGATGAGGAGCTACTGAAAGGAGCATTTATTTATGCTTAATTGTTGGGCTGGCCCCTAAGTAGCTTCTTGTTGCATATTCACAACAGTGCCTTGAATAGTCTTTTTCTATAGGACTTTTTAGGTCTTTGGCCTAAAAAAAAAATAGGGTAATAAGGAAAAAGAGCTGATCTATTGGATGAGAAGGCCAGAGTCCCAGGGCTTGAGAAAAGATGAGCTCAGTGACTGGAAAGCTGTCAAGATGCCACACTTGCTTCAGAAGGACTGGGAACATCCCAAAGGTAAAGCTCAGCCTGCGCTGTTTGATTGCCAGAAGCCTTGAACCCAAGTGTAAGCCAGAGGCTTGCCAGTATTGGCAAAGAAGGCAGTAATGATAGCATACTTGTGCACATTATGCATACACAGATACATGTACAAATTGCTCTGACTAACCATCTGACGAATAACTGAGAAAGTGTGACCTTGGAACAAGGTACCAAGGAAATGAAATTGAGAAAATGAGCAGCAGAGAAAGAAACATCTTCCTCCCCCCCCCCCAAAAAAAAAAAAAGTAAGAGTAGTACCACCAAGGCCAAATTTTAGTTGACAATATTTTGTATGAGATAACACTCGGCAAATAGTCAAGACAAGAAAGGACATTACTATTGACTCAAAAACAGAGGACAACTGGCAAAGAGAATTAAAGACCTGGAAAGACCACCAAGCAATTTGATATTAGTATTGGGAAAAAGAATGCAAATAGAACAGTAAAGGATCAGCCAACATGTCCCCTTAAATGGGTAAATAATTCCTGATGCGATCAGTGGAAAGACTTGAACCATCCAGGCAAGTTGGAATGCTGATCATCCAGGAGAGGTGTATTCTTTGTTATGGAAGAAAACATGAACAACAAATGGGAAAAGTCAGAATTTTGAGCAGCTGCTGAGTGGCTTTGATTTTACAGGCATCATCTGTGCCCACCAAGCCAAGTGTGGCTGTAGGCCTCATTCCATTTCTTACACTTGTCGGCTCTTTATCACTTCATCGATGCTGTGTATATTCCTGGGGCTTTTGTGCGACCTGTTGCTGCACTGCTTTCCACTCTCTGCTTTTTGGTGTTTGAATCTTTGGCATCTTCCAGACCTGCTTAAGAACTACATGGCTGCATCAGAGATAGGCAAGGATTTTTTCTCCAGATTCTGCTCTATTTAGGGTTTGTAGTCTCGGTGAGGTGAGTCCACTACATGGTGCAGAAGTTGCAGTACCTTTAGATGGATGGTACTTAGTTTCATAGTAGATTTGCATTCAGATTTTCTCAGTTATTTGTGTTGTCACAAGAGTGAGCATCACCTCTGATGACATGACCTCTGAGAAAACCTAGTTCTGGCTTTTCAGGGTTTGGCCCTTCAGAGTTTATATTTGGGGGCTTCAGATGTACTCGCAAACATTATCTCTCACTCTCATCCAATTTTGACGGAGAAGTTGATGTGTCCTATTTTTGCTGGTGTCAAAGATATTCTAATGTATGGTGGTGAATTTTTTCATCTCGATTAGAAACTGAAGCTACCAGCATATGTTGCTGAACGTCAGGTTCCAGTGATGTTTGCAGGTAACACACTACACCTGGACTGAAACTGATGGGGGTGGCATTTCTCTCTCCTCCAGTTAAAGTTGTGCACTGTTGTTATAACGAAGTTAGAGAGGATCCAATGTTATGTTGTTAGAGTGTTACATGGCAGATAGTTCAAAACTGCTTTCTGCACTTCTATTTTTTATTGTTATTCATTGCCAGTGCCCTTCCCATGGTTCTGTCTTATGCAGACAATTGGAGATATAATATTTTTGGATGGTTCACAACACTGCAAATCTTCATGTATGAAGACGAGGAGTCACAATAATGTGGCAGAAATATGTTGACCAAACCACACACTAGAAAGTGAAGGGACGACGACGTTTCGGTCCATCCTGGACCATTCATAATCGACTTGAGAATGGTCCAGGACGGACTGAAACGTTGTCGTCCCCTCACTTTCTAGTGTCTTCATGTATGAATTTTAGAGGTGTTCAGGTGGCAGTCTCTTTAGTTTCAAATTTTGGTGTGCTTAGATGCCAGTATGAGAACTTGTCTTTGGCTTTATGGCAAATTTCAGAAATATCTGCAACAATGGTTTTAGTGTTCCTCTCCTGGTTATTGGGGAAAGTCGGTTCATGCCTGATACTATTACTTCAGATCATTTGGCTTCAGAAGAACTTCGAATCATTTGGCTTGAGCTGAGCCTTGGATCTTTTGGCGTGAGGGAGCCTCTTCTTGGTTTTAATATGGATTTATAGTTTCCGTCATTGTTGAAGCTCGGTTGACCATTTTCTTGT